CCCCCGGGAGGACAGGAGAACAGAAACTGTCTATAATACATGTGGCTTTGCGCTAAATTCCAGAAAAATTAGGGTTGGAGTTAAGGTTAGAACTGATGTGAAGCTTAGGATAAGTATGACTTGCATGGTCGCTTAAATAGGAAACGAGAACATGAATCGCCCACAATAACTGTGGCTTTGCGTCAAATTCCAGGGAATTTAGCTTTAAGATTAAGGTGAGGGCTAGGGTTAGGTTTGAGGTTAGGATCGGATTCTGGGGAGTAAGGACCAGGATTATTTTAAGGGTTAACTGTCAGGTTTAGGTTTAAGGTAGGGTTAGGGTTCAGATTAGGATTACAGTTAAGTTTTGTGTTAGGGCTAAGACACGGGATATATATCCTTCCTGGAAATTATCGCAAGGCAACCAATTTTAAGTGGGCCGAGCGTTTCTATTCCCATGCCCTGTTTAGGCGGTCATACAAGTCACCCTTACCAAAATTAGTTTTACGGTTATGATTGTGGTTAGAGTAAGTGTTAGGGCTAGGACACGCAAATATTTATTCTTCCGAAATAACACCGGAATAATATAGGAGCATTTCTATTCTCGTGTCCGATCGAACTGTATGCCCGAGCTGTGTACATGATAGAAGTGCAGAATGCAGACATACATGCGACAGCCAACGACTAGGCATCCTCAAATTGTAAATTCCAAGTTGGGTAGGACAAACACCTGTATAGCAGATACGAATTAATCGTTTTGTGTTTAGATCCAAGATGGGGACTAGACACTTGGGGCCGGTGCGCGAGGTTTGCAAAGGTAAGTAGACTGCCAATAGAGGAGAATATGCGAGTTCCAGGAAGCAGTTCAGAAGAAGAATATGCGATCACTGGAACAGTGATCCAGTCCCAGTTCCAGTGATCGCAGACTCTCGGCGCATTAACCACACTCATTCTCTTTCCCCACGCATATATGGCATTCAGAGGCAAGGAAAAGTCAAGAAAATTGGAGACGGGCGCGGGCGCAGTGGCTAGCAAAACACAACAGCCCGTCTACGCGTGGCACACGCAGCCTGGTCCCTAAATCGGAAGGTCTCGAACTCCATTGAGTAGGGGCCTAAGAATGCTAAAATGGTCAGATTAAGGAAGCATCGCAGGCTGACACTCAGACCCGAGCTGTAGCGAGTTTTTCCGTCCGTTGGCAATCTTGTAAAGCAGGACTTTTAACGTTTCATGATGGTCACAAGCACGTCAGGTTATTTATAATGAATCATACCTTTAATTATCGCTCGGCAACAAGATTGCGCGCAGTGGTTGAAACGACGTGAAAGCCTTCGTTTAAGTGAACTCCTTTTCTCTCCAATAAGACGTTCCTATGTACTGTAAGGCCGCGTAAGGCAAATCTGAACTAGGCTGTTTTTCAGAGCATAATTGGCCAAATAGATAATTGCGGCAGCTGTACGTCCTGGAACAGTGGGGGCAAGTAAGATGGGTATGAAGGGCATTGGTGCAGGCTGCAGGGCTTGGCTCTTCAGTCACACAGTAGTTGGCTCGCAGTGGACAGAGGAGGTCGATGCTAGTTTGAAAATGCGGCCAGAGAGCGAGTCGGCTCTGCGTCGTAATTGCTGGTTCCCATTCGTCCGTTGGCTTTGAAGATAGCTACTCTAACTTTTACAATATTGTGTCAAGCTGGCCGAATCATCGCGAGGCCTTCCAAGCTCACTGTTTGGTTCGTCGGTTTTTTAGAGCTAGTTTTAAGGTGTCCTTGTGCCGCTACCTTTATCTGCCTTGTCTGTGGACCTTCGTGGTGATGCCGCCTTATAGACGTCGCTTCCACATGACCTGGGCTTTTTATAAAAATAACGCCTGCTTTCACCTAGAGCGGATGTTGAGCATGCCCGTTCTTTCGACGATCTCAGTGCCCTGGATCCTCCTTTTTCACTTCATTAGTACTTTTCTCGAAGGTACTTGAAGTGAACGTGATTCAGACTGTTATGTGTTCTTTGGTACATAGTGTTCTTCTTCACCGCACATATGAGCTTACTCAGGACGACAGTCGTGCAAATCCCCAGTTTCTCATTGAGAAGAATGCAACTGCAACTGAAGACTGCGTGCTTCATTCTGCTGAATGCCTGGCTGGTTTTTGAGATCCGCCATGAAATTTAGCCCCTTGATGTTTCTGTAGATGGTAACTTTCACGCAAATCTCGTATTCACAGGCGTAAGACGTTTCATTGGTACTTATCATCCGTTAATTTTAATCCTCATTTAGTTCTAGTTGACACATGAACAGTATTCTCTACGTCGGTTCCATATTCGCCTTTGATTCCAGCTAGTTCCTCACGGTAAGTAAACCGTGTGATTCATGAGTTTCAGTCTCTATATCTTAGGCAGGTTGACTTGGTTGTCTGTATACTCATTTGATATATTGAATTTAGTTCACTGATTGATGTTCTTTATTAGTTGTTAATGTTCTTTATTCCACTTTTTCTTTTGCTTCATTATCACGATATGACGGAAGCAGCTTGTGATAGGGAATTTTCTGCTGTCACTAGAACTTTTATAGTTAGCCATGCGAAAATGCACCAAAGTTTTGCCGAAACTTGCCAACATATTCAACGTTTCAATCATGCACCAGCAGCTAAGACAACAGCCGAATACTCGAAACATGAGTTTGAAGCAAAGGAAAACTTGTCCATTAAGCCACGAGCAGGAAGAATGTCTGCTGAAATCACGAAAGAGAAGGTAGTAAATTTCGTACAAAAGAGAATGGTGGTACAAACCACCGAGAACCTGCACAAGCTTGTATGACTTCATAAAATTCTGTTTACAGATATCTCGAGAAAAAAGACATAAGGTCTTTCAAGTATCTTTTGCGTCAGGCATTGATAGAAAGCGACTTCTATAGGAGAATTGAATTCCTCTCCAGGATATTCGACAAAAACAATACCACTTTGCATAGAAGGGTTATTTTCTCAGATGGAGCTTCGCACAAAAGAACAAGCTCTTTTATTAGACTGAAGAGAACAAATTTCGCATGTCATTGGTACCTCTTGAATCACCGGGACTAACCGCTTAGGCAGTTGTTTCATATGATCTTAGTGTATCTTTCAGTATGAGCCGTGAAACATCGAACAAAGCGCGGTATGTGCAATTCACCAATGAAGAGTCGTTGCCTTTTACTGGAGATTATGAGCAAAACTGGTATCAAGACAATTTAACTGTATTATTCAGTTTATTCTGCTTGTTATTGGGTTTTAGTTTTTTTAAAACGATGGAGTAGTAATCACAGGGCATACCAGCGGACACGCGTTTAAGGGAGACACACGCAAATACGTAACCTTCCCACAACCAATTTTGTATTTAAAGTGTTTCCAAGATTGGCTCATGGGTCGTTTCGCGCATCGTCATGCCATAAAACGGCGATTTGACCATCTGCGGAAATCGTTCCGGACATCCAAATTTCTATATGCTCCTCCAGAATTCATCTTGGTTTAAGATGTCCAAGGCTTTTCTAATCTCCACAAAGATGTTCTGTAGGGGACTGACCCTAATTTATTTATATTTTCCTTGTAGTTGGGGTACACTGAAGATTACCTGTTTGGTCTCACAAAGTTTCCGGAACCCGCGTTGCATTTCTGGAGCAAATATCTGCCCCAGCTATGTGCTCAGAGGATAGAGGCATACGCGGAGTGAATGTCCTGCCATTGATGCTAAAAAGGGGTTCTGCGATGGCTGTTGCAGATTCTTCGGTTTACTTTGGGCTCGTACTTAAAAGCAAAGGCGGCATCTTTTAATTTTTGCGAATTCGTTTTGTTACCACATCGGCTGGAACAATGGGTTCAACTTGTCCATACTTTAAGGGACACTCATATTTGCAAACCTTTGACTGACATATGGTCGATGCACGGTGTCTTTCCGCTTGTCAGCTAAGGTACTGTTTTAATTATCGCTAACCGGAAGGGCAGACGATTGAGACTGGCATTTTTGCTCACATGCGGAAACCGACTGATGCTTTCTTCGTAGATTGTAGATTCTTCGTTTACTTCACCCCGAAGTACTCGGTTCAGTGTTCCAGAATTTGAAATTTCCCCTTTCATATGGCCGTACAATGTGAGATAAGTGGCAGCGCAAGCCCCTTGAATAAATAACCATAGACTGTTTTGACGATCATGAAGACGGCCTTCATGTCACTGCAGTCTGCGTGTTTTAAACCTTGCAAATCATTCAATCAAATCCCGCCTGCTTCAGCGTCTACTGCACTAGGCTTCGGCATGGGAAGAAATCAACTTCGTTTGCGTCGGTCCTGTTACTGGCATAGGTTATGTGCGTGAATGAGTAATCACCAAAATAAAGGTACGTAGACGTGGGAACGCGGAAGAAGCCCTAAAACTTCCGCACTTATTTTCAAGCGTAGAGAATACTGAAGAACACCGACATTGTCGCGACTTACAAAAGGGAAAAGTTATCCCATCTAAATACTCGCACAGGAATACCGGAAACTGCGCAGTGACATGGACCGACTTCAGGCTCTTAGTAATTGAATAGGTAGATTAATTTCAGCGTTGCTCATATATTTGTAAAATATTTTCTTTTGCGGATAGTTAACAACGTACATTGAGGACTTAAGCTGTTGAAGTCGAAGCACAGGATTCTGCTTAAGTTGCGCCACCTCGCTTTTGGCTTCCCGAATTTGGTTTTTTAAACGCGTCATAGTCTGTGCCATTTGAAATATATGCTCCTTGGAGTCCTGCCGAACGGCGGGGGTTATGGTTTGCATCGTCTGCAACTGAAAGAAGGACGAGGAGAAATTTTTAGTTTCCGATAGCTTTACATCGGTAAAGGGGCGATGGTAGCGTTCAATTACAAACCACAGAACTCAGGTCCCTATTAACTTTAGAGCCACAGACCATTGGTCATATTTTATCTCAAATAATTTAAAAACGCGTTTATTGATACATTCAGTTTGGTTAAAAACTGAATAAGTCGAATTAGACTGACGGTCGTCTTTGGCAAACAACCACCAGACTGTGCAACCTGCATAAAGATGAAAAATAAAAGACCCTTCAGAGAATTCACATCTTCATATTTTTTGAGATTTTTTATACCAAACGCATCAGTGATGTGCCATTCTCACCCACCCCGACATAGCAAATTCCTCTCACCCAACTCAGGTACCCATCGCAGGACGATGCCAACCCTGCCAACGGACATCTGGCTGCTGCTGCGGCCTCTGGGGTCTCAAATGTCCTAATAATAGTAGTCCCACCTTTAGCCAATAATGTTCCCTGACGCAGGATTTGTTTAACCAGTTTGAGAATTCACGAAAACGACCCGTTTTTTACCGAAGGGTCTTTCATTTTCACGATATTATCTCGGAGAATACGCTTTATTGGGGCAATTAAGAGTAAGGATGACTTTTATGGCCGCCTCAACAGAATCCAGAACAGGAACTACCCGCAAGATATGTGGTTTCGTGACAAATTCCAGGAACAGAATGGGTTTGGGATTAAGGTGAGAGTTAGAGTTTAGTTTATGATTTGATTTAAGTTTGGGTCTAGGCCAGCTTTGGGAATTTTGTTTGAGTTCTTATTAACTGAATGGTTTGCATTCCTCTTCTCTTGTCCTATTTAGGCGGTCACACAAGTCCTCCTTACCCAACTAAGTTCTTTGGGATGGCGATTGCGTAAATCAAGGTGGAAAAATTTCTATGATAAGGGAAAAAACCAAACTTACGTTTTGTCTGATTTCTTGGCGTAGGACATCTATGTGTTCCCGGCGGGTCTTGAACAGTGCAAATAAACGCCGTATTGTTTCGATTTTTGAGACATTCTGCTGAGTTTTGATTGTCTCCAGTTGGTCTTCTAGAACCTTCGACTTGCTCTTTGCGTCTGCCAAGTGCCTAAAAGGTAGGAGGTTGCCACACATCATTCGGTCATCTTCGGATGCAGTTTTGTTCATGCTAAGTCACTGCACAGGTCAGACCTCTGTATACCTGAATAATGACATATTAGGGTAGGCTCCGTGTAATTTAACCATCGGTTACTTGAGAAAACCGTTTAGTTGAGTCAAATGTTAAAAACAGAAGCAGATTATATGTCTCATGCAAATTTACTTCAATTCCAAGAAACATCACTCTGCCTACCTGCGCCGATAAGTCTTAAGTCTAAATTCAACCAGATGATGCTCCGGGAGGTGCTAGCATTTGTATGAATGACAAGGTCTTTCGGCCGTAACTTCAATCATGTGGTCTGTATAGGCTATGCGCACTTTTTAATCACGCTGATCGGTCAGTCTTGGGAGCTCGCGAACCTAAGTCAAGCCCTAGTGCGCAATCCTGTGACCAATAACACAAAAGTGGGCATTTTATAAGCAACCTTAATTGCTTAACTTAAATGAGCCTTTCGGATAACTGGGTCAGTCGTTTAATCGGGGCAAAACATTTGGGTTCAATTCAATCTGACTAGCCGAAATCGAATGCATATGTACTGAACTTTTCTATTTCATTGTAAAACTCTTTTACAATGTCGCGCAGCCAACAGGTATATATTTTACGAAAAATCCTAAAAAAATGCATGAGCGTAAATTAATGCAGATGACTCGCCAGATTAATTCTGGACTTCGGGACACAATTCTAACTGCCAACTGCGAAAAATTTACACATCCGATCTAAGGAACCCGTGAGTCATGTGAAAAAGGGTGTAGGGATTGTCATGCAAAGCGTTTGTAAAACGAAGGAGTCTGCCTACCGCCTACGTAGTCCAGTGTTGGCGAGAATGGAGTGAGACGCCCAAGACTGTGACCTTACTTACGCTAGAAACGAGACAACTTCGTGTGGTAAAAGACGTCGAGAGGAGATAGCTGCCAGTCAAAGAAAGACCATGCGATTGGATGACTCCTTTGCAAATTGACATCTACTGGACGCCTGACTAAAAAGCTCTTATGGCAATTTAAGCCAGCTCAGAGTCGATCAGAAATCTAAAATTTAATCCATTTCAGACATATCTTCTCGGATAATAAAATTATAGCCGCGTGTCGGTGAACTTTTCCACATGAAACACATATCTAGAACTCCGGCCACGATCCTTTAAAGGAGAAATATTCCACAAGCCGAATGATTAATTTGACACATTTGCAGACACTGACCGATCTCATGAAATTTTAACCAAAACTTTAAACTGCTTTTCAGATTAGGCATGATTACTTAAGTGGAATTCTAATATTTATTAGCTTGGAGCATAGTGTCAAAATACTTTAAACACACCAGGATTCCGGCATTCGAAGAAACGTCTTTTCGGTTTCCTCAAAAGCCAAATTCAATAACGAGTAACTACTGAAGTAGTGTGTCATTTTCCCGTAGATTTTTGATGCCATTGCAAATTCAAATACATTTTGCAGAAAACGTAGGCAAAATATTTCTTTTTGTACCCATCTGATGGGCAAGCATGTGTTCTTTATAATTGTTTCTGGAACCAAGTCTATCTTTAGAGTTTAAGAAATTCCGATTCCCCAATAATTTTGAGCGCAGTCTGTCAACGCATTTGCGTTTAGGGTTTTCATTCTATGCGCTGTATAACTTTGGTCGAGTAAAAAAATTATGGTCACGTGTCGGCGAACTTTTCCACATGAATCATATATCTTAAGCTCCAGTGATGAGCCTTTAGGCAAGAAGGAGTCCTCAAGCCGAATACTTAATTTGACAAATTTATATGAGTCCAAGCATGTTAAGCAGAGATTTAAAAGGATAATGGGAACTACTTTCCGCAAGTGACGCTCCGAAAGGCATGTCCACAAAAGCACAAAAGAGGGCTTACCGAAGCCGTTCTTCAAGACCAAATTTTAAAACCTTCAGACGCGTTGAATGGTCGTGGTTTTGATAGGTTTTGGGCGGGTAGTCACCTGTGAGGAAAGGTACCTGATAATTCAAGCCTCTCTGTTTCTCTCGTAGGCTCTCAACGGCCGTCTCAATTTGGGCAGCATATAGTTCACGAAGTCTCTCCTTCGCCTCCAAGAGAGTCTGCAAACTGGCGGATGGCAGCTCAGCCGAAATTTCGCGCTGCTATAAGGGGAAAACGGTGAGTGAATAGAAGAGTAATTGGTGGCAACAACCAAACGCAAGCAAGGTGTTAAAGGCCAAAATCGAGAGGTTTGGTAACTTAAAAATGTAAAAGCAGTATATTCAGAGATCGCTCGACGAACTTCTTATTTTATTCACAACAGGTGTGGCTGGCTAGGTGCAGGAGGACAATAATCAGGATGAAATCGATGTTAACTGTGATCAATTGTTATTCGGCCGACTAATACGATTAGCGGAACAGTTATCTGATCCCTCTTTGGAAAAGTCAAAGGGAGAGTCTGCTAAGCAAGCAAACATAAAAATCTTAAAATATGTACAGTAGCTGTGCTAGCTCATGAAACGTTAAGAAAAATACTGAAACGTGATTTAAAGAAACAAAGGATTACGAGGAAGATGACACGATGACTGGAGCAAAAGCTTTATTAGCCTGACGTTTCAGCTTCTCTCCCTTGAACCCATTATCAGAGGAAGAAACTTCTTTTTTGCACCTGCCTCTGAGGATGGGTTCCAGAGAGAACCCGACACATCAGGCTAATAAAACTTTTCTTCTAGTAAACATGTCTTCTTCTTTGCGACTACTCCCCGGAACTCGCCACTTCGCTTCTATAAGAAAGAATTACACCGATAGGATTGTAATGCTGTTTATTATAAAGCATACTCCTAAGGTATGCATCAGTCACCTCAGGATGCCGCCTTTTTAAAAAGCTTCTTTTCGGCCGCCTGCAAAAAATACACTCGGTAAAAAAGAACTACTTACGTACTATAACATTTCCACGTTAATTATTGATGCCATTATGTGCTCACGTATATTTTATCAATAATATGGATGGAAATATTCTGTCTTAGGCTAGTTTGATTGCAACTTCCGCTTACTTTGCATTCTATAATCGAAGAAAGGGTATTTTTCGCTTTAAAAAACGTTTTCAATTCCTGAATAATTTGGAGCCCGAACTACAGTACCACTTGCGTTTATACGCTTCGAATAAGGAAAGTCGTGCATTTCTCTAAATTATTAAGAAGAAGTAATAGAGGACACATAGACATTTTCACTGGATGCAGACAATGCTGTACACTTCGGTATACGGTCAGATATTATGCTCGATGAATGGACATTTCTAACTCTAAATCTGCCCTTCTTGCAAGTCTAAAATGCAAGGAAGGCAGAAGTTACTGCAGAGTCAGTGTGAAAAATCATATACTTATTCATGTTTTCTATAAACTGTATGTTGTATATGCATTCATTTCCACGATGAGTCATCGTACAGAAAGGCGCGTGCGTGAGCCACCACATAGACTGTGGCCACAGATCTCTTATCAGATCTAATTGGTCCATGTCTTTGATAACTCGTTCGGCCCCTTCTTATTGAGCGAATTTCATAAATACACGCAGCCTTGTTGTGAGAAGGATCCGCTGTTTGTGAATACAATTTACCTGTAACTAGTTGTCTTCCCCTCTTCGCCCATGTTGGCTTTTGGGATAACTTATGGATAAGCCCACGGTTCATTCAAAAGCCGACATCCTGTGGTAACTGAGATTGGGATTACTTTGTACGATAAAAATGTTACAACGCTACTAAAGTAATTTTCCCAATGTTAAGTAGCCATTTTTACAGAATATCGTTTTTGCGGGCAGTCAGAAAGAGGCTCCTTTAAAAACCGGCATCCTGTGTTACCTGAAGTGTTCTGGGGTTATGCTACCTTGCCTAAGTACTCCTTTCTAAGCTAACATACAGTTCATAATTGTGGCTAACATTTAATGAGACAGATCAGCTACCATATTTTGTAGATAGCAGAGGAGTCAAGCCTGTAGATTTCTGACAGTACGTAAAGCTGCCTAGCTTCTTGTCCATCTAAAATCTAACCACGACCTGTCGAAGTGGTAAAGCCCCTACGGCCTGGAGACTGTTATCAGCAAGCATTATCTGCCACATTCCTTGTACTTATTTTGTTAGCACATTTTTATCCGTCTCAGTTTTTACTTGAGATTGCTTTTCGGGAAGGCTTTTTATATTTCCCCTTCGAATCCTGGCGACCTTTCCTGTCGTCCTTAGTGCCGTCCTTTTCTTATGGTTTGTACTTTGAGAAGCTCCAATCTAATATTGTTTACAGGTGCCCAACTGTACGCACTACGTGGTATCCTTCGCGTGGTTTATGTCGGTTGAGTGTTTGAAATTAGGATTCTGTAGATAAGCTCATTCATATAGAAGTGAATATGCGAGTTCTAGGAAGCAGTTCAGAAGAAGAAGATGCGATTACTGGAACAAGAATTTTATTTTCTTGACGTTTCGTATTCTGTCGGGCATCTTTGCGAGGACTTCGGCCTGGTAACGCCCAGGTTGCAACTCGCTCGACGAAATCCGGCCCTATTTTCAAGTTTAACGAAGTCGAAATCCTCGCAAGAGGTAACAACCGAGTAAGCCGCGAGCTGCTCGAGTCCTGGTTCTCAGGCTTACAGTCAATCAACAAGCGCAACGAGTTGCCGTACCCATACTGCGTACTGAGGCAAAGCCTGAGCAAGAGAATCAGTCAGGTGGGAAGAGCCGGGCCCAGCAACAACTCTGACGACAGCGAGCATAATTGCCGCGCCATTATCAAGCCCGCACCCGACATGAACAACGAAATCGCGGCAATAAATGAGTCGAAAGCGAAGTGTTAAGGCATCACCACAACAATTAAGACTCCAAGCGGTAGTTACAGGAGCTGATTATAGTATGCATGCGGATGACCGCTACGAACTATGAATACGGTGAAATCTGGGCATTTAGTGCCCCAATCTGCGCATGTCTCACACTATCCTACGGTTACCTATGATTAAGGGTTCTCGACAGAATACGAAACGTCAGAAAAAATAAAAGTCTCTTTTCGGTGCTTACATCTTTTTCTTCTGAAGCTGATTCCTAATTTAAACTTCTTTCCCTAGCTGATTCATCATATAGGTTAGCATTTGAAAAAGATTACAGGAATAGCAAGATAGGCTGCCAATTCTCCCCGATGCTCATCCGATTGTTGACCCCAATTACCCCCCTCCCCCGCCGCTCCTGAAAACCGCAATAGATTTCCTACCAACCCGCATAGTTTATTTAGTTAATTACGACATCATTGTACAGACCTGAAGATAATTTATCGAAAGCAAACATATGCCCGCCAATTTTTATCTTTTGAAATTACAGGAATCGTTTACATACACCGGTCTTAATCCAGTTATGCGTATTTTTGAATGTCTCTCTGTGCTTGTGGAAAGTTTCACACAACCTTATGCTTGTCTTTGTTAATGATAGCTAGTCTTCATTACTTTTTGCATAAAAGGAATGCGTGAAAATGGTTTGAGCATTTCCCTAGTAATTAGCCAACACAGTCCACAATCGAACTTCACTTTTCGGTTGCTCTGCAAATACGGGCCTACTACAGAAACAAACACCTATTCTTTAAATATCTAATACAGTGTATGTTAAAATTAGTCAAAGTATGATCACTGAACGTTTAGGCATATCTGCCGTCGATTAACAAGATTATTTGTGCCTTGTCGATAAAAATCCACCGACTTTAATGCTAAGAAATCTTTGGATCCAGTTCTCGCCTGAATTCATTTTCTTGAACGTTTTTTTTCTTAGGAGTTGTCTAATGCTTCAAAGCGTAGTAAGAAAGTGAAGGATCAGGAGAATATGGAGGATGTAGTAAAGGCTCGTATCCGAAGTCAATGCGTCTTTGCAGCGTCACCCTGGCAACCTGTGGCCGTGCGTTATCCTGGAACAGAATTGGGCCACGTCGATTCACTAGCATAGGCTTCAACTTTCCTATCTAAGCATGCATTTCTTCGATTTCCTGGCAGTAAACCTCTGTAGTGATGCTCTTATTAGTCTCCAAAAAGCTGTCATGGACAATACCAATAGCAAAGCATCAGACTGGAACCATAAGGTTCTGCTGATACAAGTTCGGATTGGGGAAATGCTCAGGTGCTTCGTCACGATCAAGCCATTGTCCTGATCGCTTACAGTTACCATAAAGGACCAATCTTTGGTCACATGTCACTATTTGATCGAAAAGATAGATCATTAGAATTTCGCCTAGAGGATAACGAACACACTTCAGAGCGCCAAACTCTTTCATTTTCACTTAGCTCATGTGCGACTCATTGAATCAGCTTCTTCACCGTACCAACTGGTATCAGAGAGTTGGATATCGTTTAAATACTGACAGCAAGTACCACAGATGTTGGTTTTTTTTCATCAACAATTGCTTTGTCAAGAGTGCATGGCCGAGCGCGTGTCCTTCTATGACAGGATACTAATCTAGACTCGAGTGTTTTACTACATGGAGTGTGCTCCACTTAGAAAAGGTCGTTCTCCACGTAAATCAGATGAAACAAGATGTAGGCAAGCAGCTTATTTTTAGAAATCGAGACGTGTTATCGATTTTAAACTTTAGTTGTGCAAGGCTGTGTGCTTTCATGCCCTCAAATGCAGTAATAACATCTACTGATAATCCTCTATTTTGGACTTCCCGACAACTTTCTGTCCTTTTCGAATATTGAATAACTTAAATAATTAGCCTTTAGTAAGCGCCTATGCTAACTTCTAAGCATATTTTAGAGTAGTTGGATTATCTAGTTTTGCAATCGATTGGAAACACTGAAAATCGTGAAATATTAACTGATATTTCAAAGATGATCCAAAACCCATAGTACTCCAATGTCAGAAATACCTATAAAGGGATCTGACGAGAGGAATTTTCCCTTTAATTTACATAAAATTTGAGTCCCGGGTGATCCACACCTGGGATTGGGTATGACTGGCTGATGACAGCTAATAAATCAGAAATAGTCATTCTGGTCTCCCTTTTTTTGTCGGTTTCACTCCACCCTATTTTATTCCATGTTTTCCAAAAATATATTTGAAGTTATAAGTGCAAGGAAAATCAATGAGAAAATGAAGACTACTTAGGTGGCCATTTTTTAAAAAACATACTTTTTGTAGGTTTTCGGAAAGAAACTAAGTTAAAAGCTAACATCCAGACGTGACTTTCATATCTTTAGATTAGGCTATAAGATAATCAGTACTACAACCCTAATTTTCTAATTTTAAACACAATTCGGAATTTCGGTTGGCGTTCCATCAGATAGGGAATTGACTATATGATCACGGTAACGAAAAGGGCAAGCGAGCGCTCAGTGCCAGGAACTCACTGCAGCATCGTCGGTGATAACGGAAAGAATGGCCAATCGCTCCTCGTGTGATTGACGGCCTGAATCAACGTAATCGCAGCAGCGAAGAGCAGCCTCATCTTGGAGTTGCTCGCATTTACGTCTCACGTCGTCCGGCTCCAGACGCTTTCGCATTAAACTAATTTCGGCCAGAAGACTTGAGGTTCGAGCGGACTCTTTGGTGAGAAGACAGTGCAATTCTGCCAATTTGGTCTCTTCATCTGATTGATTCTAAAAAATCAACAATGAATCATTTTTTTATAAATAAAGATAAGTTACCGCATCCGCCTATCATTATGTGAGCTGAAATAGCATAGTGGGCTGATAAGCTCCATTGAAGGATTCAGTTTTAGTCCGTATTCGATAGACTGACAGTCTCACAAAAACCCTTGTTACAGATGCTGTGGTAACACCCATCGCATCCACCCGACCTGCTGCTTAACTCCGACCTATGAGTCGGTGGAACTGCGCTGAATGCAGCCGCACCTTACGGACTTGCTTAAATACGACGTCTTGGCAATGACAAGATTAGCATTGGCAATAGCAGCAAATGTCTGTCTTATGAACTCTGTCCCCCTGAACTTTTATTTGGGAGTCTTCTCGTTGGTCCTACTTCGTCAATTAGTGACCCCAACGTGATACGAGCAGACTCATTCAATGCAGTTAAACTCCGTCATTAACGAAAATGTGAAAAGGCCCTATGACTTCTTGTTAGAGAGCAATCACGCAACAGTAAATTTTTGTTTTCCTGTTAAATGCCAGTTTTAAACAACTTCTGTTTATTAAAAATAACACTTAATACGAAATCCCAGTACACACACCGTGCCTGAAAAGTAAAAATGCGTGATATCCACCATCAGCTTACGGATAGCTCATTTATTCCTCCTCGAATACTGAGCAACAAAGCGAAAGGATTGATGACATCTGTGAAGAATTGTATGGCAGCTTTAGGGAGGCGTAGGCCTCAACTGCCCTAAAGCCGTGATCTTTCACCACTTTGCATGTCGACGTGACAGTTAGACCGTCGATTTTGACTATGTCCACTGTATGCTCCACAACAGGGTGGTGCAGGGTCGGTGACTTGCGCTGGATTATAGTGAAAGAGGGCATACGCAGCACTCTCTCTTTCATCATCCACCAGGGCACGGTGTCAAGACATTGTCAAGAAGACTAGAAGCGGAATCGGGCGCGAGGCCGCCCCTCCAATGCGTGCCACCATATCTGCCTAGGATCCTAGATATGTGGGAGTGCCATAACCAGCACAGTAAGAAAGAGCCATTGCAGCCTCGCTCTCAGTCCGTCAGTTAGCCACTCCACACAAGCATACATTGGACTGACAGCGCAATCCGCGTTACTCGTCAGTTGGCAACCTTCCAAGCTACGGCTTTTAGGGCTCCGTGATAGCTTCAAGTGCGCCAGATTGTTTATAGTGAGGAGAATGCGCTGAGTCGTCGATCTCACTCTCTCCTCCACCTGCAGCATCAGACCACCATCCAAATCGGTCAGTTTTCTGATATGGAATGGGCTCAGTGACTACCAGCGCCGGCAAACCTGTCTGCGCGCGCCACACCACGACCTGATCCTCTTGGCCCATACGTAAACACCAGGATTTACACGACCTCGGGAATAACAAAGGAGCCATCGCCGTCTGATTCCCAGTCCACTCATCAGCCATTAAACACACAGCACTCTGGGCTGATGGTGCGTCTAGTAAGTACGTCAGCTGGCTGCCTTCTCAGCCACGGTAAACTGTGATAGGCTCAGGCTCCCATCACACATGTAGCATAGCAGCTACATGCAGAAGGAGTGGGGTGGGGTGGGGTTTTGTGTGCAGGAATAGACGCACACGGACTCAGTAGCTTCCACAAACAAAGGAACTGCGAATAACTAACGGAGGTCACAAACAATCAACTACCTATCGGACCCATCAGGTTTCTCCGACCCAGCTGATACAAGCCGTTTGAAAGCCAGCCACGCTCCGTGCCCACTTCTGTTTATTATCACAAACAGTGGTCGAAGGTAGGATTTGCTGAGCAAAGACAGGATAACCCCGAAGAGGCGGCACCTCGGCTGATGGCTCCCGAGCAGTACTTTTGTAAACCTTAAGAAAAGACTAAAATGCGGGTTTTGTTTTAGAATAAAGGGCATCACTCTTTTGAAATTGGGTTTTACCGTCCTTTATACTATGACTTTTTGAAAAAAATGCGCAATTCCTTATGAAAGAGCTATAAAGATATAATATTTTCAAAACTGTTCCTCGCCGACAATCAGTGGAAGACAGGCGCCCTTAAAAGTTCTGGATTTTCAAAACGTATGCATGAATAAATTTCCTACTAGTATGATTTGCATCCCTTCGTAGTCCGAAACCCAGTCGAAATGACCTAATGATTTTAAGTCCATCGAGAAATAATAAAAAAACCCCCAAAATCTACAAACAGCATAGATGGTTCCGCGAAAGTTGAAAAATCGAACTGTAAACTGAACACCAATGTTTTGATCAAGTCACGTGGTTTCGCGTTTTTTGCAGTGATTATGTGGTGTTGACTCCAAAAGCACAGCTCAAATCAGAGAAGAATGTAATTAGCCCTAGGTTTCAGTCCATGCATATTGCAGCATCGGAGTTAGATTTTAATTTACAGTGACCTTAAGATTAAGAGAACCATATTTAAAAAAAATGTTTGGATACTTCACCGGAGTGAGAGGATCTACCCTGTTTTAATAAGGTCTTTCAAGATTCCGTCCTTCTCGACTGTGTTGAGAGGAGAATTTCTGCTAAAAATGTTGCTTATATTAAAATATGTGTTCTCTCTCTCTCTCTCTCTCTCTCTCTCTGAAAGGGCCTACTTCTTTCCCTGATCCTACTATTTTTCTTCTTTCTCCCTGTCCCCTCATCCCGCAGTTTCGAATTCCACTTCACTCTGATAGTGCCTGAAAATTTCTTTTTCGACTTCGTTTCTTTCCTTCGGGTTAAACTTGTTTCGCCAAGGAGTGTTGCATTTTTTTATTGGTTTTCTCGCTGCTTTTGTTATTTGTTCTTTTTGTAGTTAATCGTAGACTTCCAAGCATGTCTGGTGTTAGAAAGGAAATCGCAACTTTTAGTTTTATTTTCCATAGTTTATATCAATCGTTTTCTTTCAGTCCAAACTGTAGTATCATTTCTCAACTACGACCTAACCCTCGTCTCTAATCTTAACGGTCTTCGAAATGAAGATTTTGTTAATGAGCGGGAAGGATTGACACACTGTAGCGACCGTGATAATTTCCACACAACTGGGAGACATTTGGATACTTTAGTATAATATGAGTGCCATAAATGTGTTTAATGTTAACAGACGATCTGCGCTTTAAGTGAGAAGAGGGAGGAGGCTGAGTGACAATTTTCTGGGTCGATTGTCATTGCCAGGCAGCCATACACCAACTGTGTAGGTGCTTGCGGGGCCCAAGAATGAGGCCTAAGACAGAGCAGAACGAGTGAGTTCCGATAGCCATCTGTTAACGTTTATCAACGAGTGCCAATATCTCCCGATCTAAACCGACCAGACTACGAACTCGTGGCTCAGAGGTTATAGCTTTAGACTTCTGATAAAAAGGTGGCAGCTTCGAGCTTTTGCTGCTGCACTACTCGGGGTTGAGTATGACTAGCTGGTGACTGCTTATAAGCTAGAAATGGCCATTCCAGCTCCCTGGATTTGCTGCCAGTGCTATATGCATACACCAACTTCTGACCCACCAGGAACCGGCGTTTGAGTTCGAGTTCCATTAGTTATTAAGAGCACCTTCGTCATTGATTGCGGAAGATGCCCGCATCAAACTACACTAAGTAGCATTGGAGTGCGGTTCACCGGTCTAGTCCAATTGCAGGACGGAATACCTGTCTCGGCTGTCCAGCCAGCATAGATAGCCATATGCCACCTGCGTACGTTAGCTCTTTATCTAAAATACTTTCGACCTAGCATCCGTCTGCATGAGTACTTAACAGAGGTGATACATTCTTACCTGCCTGCTTGTTAAATTAACGATGCACTTAATCATTCCTTTGAAACGATATTACTTATTCCGTTTTTATCTTGTTATTAAAAGGCTCAAGGAGGGCCTGTTGGAGAGGGCGCGAGAAGCGAGGCCTACAAAAGACGCAGCGGTAGGTGGTACTCTATTGCCGTTTCTTTTATTTTTTTGTGAACTGTGCTTTACGTTGCTTTCCTGGCACTATGATCGGCGAAAAAAGGACTCTGAGACGACAAAAAACCACACGTTCCTGTCAACTCTACGTAGATCTTGGTTTTGAGAGTTCAAAAACTAGGTGATGAAGTTTACTCTGTCCTCCGTTGATATTGTTTTTTGAATAGGTTAGTTAAAAAGCATTTCCTCCATGCGAATGGAGCCTGGAAAATCCGAGTCCTGGGAATAACCCCACAAATAAGTTTCCGGTTTGAGTGACTTATGAAGGCCTCAATGGGAGAGGCAAAGGATGTCATTGATTCACAATAAAGTAGCGTAGGCCCTCCTCTTAGTCAAGGTCGCCGAGTTAAACGGGCTCCACACTAGTATGCGCCCGTGCGTCGTCGACATGTTGCGCAATTGATTTAAAGCTGACTCAGTTTGTTTTGCCTACAGAACTACTCGTAACCTATTAGGTTTCAGCATAAACAATGAGATAAAATATGGAGAATCCTTTTTGTTAAGTACCCAAATTGAACGAAATTCGGAGTACCAGTTGCCTCACACGCTCTCAGCAACTCACAAATCAACTGCGCCTAAATTGGCGCAATTGATTTGCGCAAAACCAAACTGTGCCTAGCCTTCGTTGCGTTTGCACCAATCAGCGTCTGAGCAACACCGAGCATTACGAATGACGTGTAAGTTGACGCCACCTATAAAATGAAGGTAGGATGACGGTCTCGTTAGTGTAGGCAGAGAACTCGCCGTAATTTTTAGCAAGCGCAATTATTCCTATCCCTAAATCGGTAGACCAGACAAGGTCAGACGGTTTAACGTAGTAGACTTATTGCACATGCACTAACCCACAGTATCCGCCGTAGTGCATGGTGCATTCCAAGAATCCCAAACATATTAAAAGAAACTCATAAACTGTGTTCAACGCATTGTCCAAAACTCAAAAAAGCTATTAATCACAACGTTATGTTTAGGGAACTTACAATTCCATTGGAGAACAGAAAACTGAACTTATGTACATTTCAAGTAACTTAGTGGACTGTAATTCAGATATCTAA